CTTCGAAGTTGACGTATGACCTTAGCTAACCAAATCACTTTATACTTGATCAAAGAGGCCAGATGTAGAGTAGATATACCACTTTTTAGGGATTTTATGACCTTAACTAACTAAATCACTTTATACTTGATCAAAGAGGCCAGATGTAGAGTATATATACCACTTTTTAGGGATTTGCCGGTCTTTTCTTAACCCGTTAGCTTGAATTTGGTTGTGACGATGATACCTTGCTCTGATGAGGTTCGTCATATGACGGACGAAAGCTTAGCACCTTTTCATCGGAATCAGTGTCAGCAGGAATGCTCCAGTAAAGCCAATCGACAGCTTGTAAAGAGGATTCCGCCGTCTTTTTCTGGATTAACCGACCTTCGAATCTCTTCACCCAACACTTTCCCTCGAAATGGAAATAAGCACAATAATTGTCCAACTTATCCTTCCGTAATGGCTACTGCCTACGGAGAGGTATTTATATTTTCATATGCATTTGTATACATTTCTATGAGTTATTTATCCTCTTACTTCTCAAAATGAATCGGTTTAGGACTAGAGCCTAAGTTTATGTGACATAATTTTCGATCAGGCAGTCAAAGAGATAAATTCATACAAAATTTCAGTTTCCAGCAATTTTTAATTAAAAATTTACGCTTTATTATATTTTTCCTTATAATCGCACTCTCGAGAATTAAATATGAAATCGAAATTGTCTACATTAAGATTATGACTGAGTCTAACTAAAGGGGAGAATATTTGTGTATGATAGAATTATAAAGTTTGAACTAATCCGAACCGAATTTTGGTGTTTCGTTTAAATGCTGAACCAAATTGAGATATATGCTAGGTTTAATTTTTTATTTAGCACAATACTGGGTTAATCCTTCATTGAATAATATATTTATGCTTTAGGAAGTGCATACATGAAACATTGAGTTCGGTGACTGAGCCACAAAACCAAGCTCAGACAATTAATCCAACGCTTCTGGAGCCAAGCAAAGAAAGCAATAAAAATAACGTAAAAGGGGATGATGGAATTTCAGGTGACAAGGAGCAAAGTTCTAACGTAAGAGAAGAAAGCGAAGCCAAAGACACATCCGACTGGGAGGAGGAAAAAGAGGAAGAAGAACAAGAACTAGAACTACCGGGATGGGTAAAGGCACTTAGTGCGGATCCCGATGAGACTGACGGCAATTATGTTGAATTTGCGATTGAGGAAGAAGCCAAGTCAAAAAAAACGGATGAAAATAGTGAAGATAGTTCTAAGAAGGCTGATAAAGAAAATAAACTTGATGCTGAGAATGTAGAGGCTAAGGCTAAGGAAGAATGTAACAAGGATGATGACAATGATGAAAATGATGACAATAATGACAATAATGACAATAATGACGATGATGATGATGACGCGAAAAAAGTTATTAATATACTCACTCAGGATATGAATAAAAGTAATACTAAAAATAATAAGGGAGGTGAAATAAGAACTATGGGGAATGAATTTGCAGAAGAAGATGA